ACAACTACAAAACAAAAGTGTAGATCGTATAATCAAATTTTTTTGAGTTAATAGGATTCCATAAATTTAGTACATGTAGTTTTTAGGTCGCTTTTACTGTATGCTCCGAGAACCAGAAATTCTTGATCTGGGTTTGATTGTGCACCTACGTTAAGGTTAAAGATCGGTTTCTGAACGTGAGTAGAGAGTAACAGCTTTGACTAATGTTGGCTTACTTTCCAATTTCTCCCAGAGATATTTCTTTATTGGTTATAACCAAATATTCACAGGCTGTGGGAACGAGATTGTCTTGCTCTTTCTCACCCTTCATGCTTGAAGGACTAAGAAAAAAGAAGGGCTTCTTGCAGTTTATCCCCCTGCAACTAACTACCTGGGACAGTTTAGTCAGGGGGAGGTATAAACAGTAATGAATAGCATGCTGCGGGGCACTGGATTGAATTTTATCTGTAATTTGAAAAGAGCACTTGAATTTCTCAAAGGGAGAACACACAATACAAGGGTGCCAGATCCTGGTAGATTTAGGATTATCTGGATCTAGTCAACAACCTTCACAAGCCCTCAGAGAATTCTAAATGGGGTTCATATGATAGCTGAGATTTGGCCAAACGTTTAATAGTCAGGTGGGAAATGAGGCATTTTTAACTGATTGTTATGATCTGAGGTGTCCAAGGCTTACTGACAGCCCGGGAGGTAGGGGGAGGTGGAGGGAGTACTCTACAAGGTTTTGTATGGGTAGGCTCCACCCTGAAGCCCAATTCCTTACCCTTTTGTACACCATTTTGACAGAAATATATACCTGTTATTGAAAAAAGGTATCCCTTTTACTTACCTACTTCATCCCATTTCTAAACTCTGGGAGCGAAATTAATGTTACTACTGCAGGATGGCATCAAACATTGACAGAAGAGATGTTTACATTTAATCAATTCCGTTCACGTTACACCTAGATGACAGATTTCCCTACCCTTTCACATACCTCAGCTTGTAATATCCCATTCCTTTTATCTACAAGAAGCCTGAAAAAGGTACCCTTTTGGGCGGAGCCTCTCCTTGTAGGCCGTTATAGGATGTACCCCCGGGACTGACAACTGAGGAATGAGTCGAAGCATTAACTGACAGCTGAGAAATCGCCGGAAATTTGACTGATAACCCACATTCCTTCAACCCCATCCAGACCCTCTAACGAGGTACTGAAAAACTGGGCGGAGATGTAGTACGCTTGAACCGAGGCCACAGACCAGCGCCAGCCGGCCAGGGAATAAACTATCAGGACATTCGAAGTAAAATAAAGTTGTTGATAGATCGATCGATTGATCGATCAATTGATTGATTGATTGATTGATTGATTGATTGATTGATTGATGCATAGCATTTCTCCTCTAATTTGCCATGCACCATGAAGGGCACTCTTAGTTAGAAGTTGTTTTAGTTACAAACTCGACCATTCTAGCTCATACTGTGATTTTGTGGGTAAGGTCTGGGTAAAGCTGGTAGTCCGGCGGCGTAACTCGAAATTTCAGGCAAATTGTGCTCTTGATTTTGATACAAGCACGAAATTTGGCAAATTGAAAGCAGTCACCAATACAAACATTTTCAGGTATAGTGCCAACTTGGACGACACTGGTTTATATGGAAACCACGATTTATTAAAATTCATGAAATTTCTCTGCTTATCCTAGTTTATCAGCAAATATTTTCATTTCAATGGTTCCAACTTGTTTACCAAGTTCGTTCCGTTTTAGCATATGGCACGTTGCCCTTAACGACGCGTTGCCATGGAAACGAAAGATAAAATCCCACGTTTGTTATGGTAGCTCGTAGCCTGCGAACGCAGACGTATTTCCAGCTGTCGCTTGTCTCCGCCGAAAAAAACGTCTGCGAACCTGAGCCAGGAAACGATTTCTGTGACGTAATGACTTTTGTTTCTCCTTGACCAATCAGATTCAATGATAGAATGAAACTCGAGTGCTCCTCGCAGCGAATACCTCGCGCAGAAGTTCTGGGGCTACTTGAGTGTGATTGGCTTAAAATTCCTACGTCACAGAAATCGTTTCCTGGCTCGGGTTTGCAGACGTTATTTTCAGCGGAGACAAGCGACAGTCGGAAATGCGTCTGCGTTCACAGGCTAGGTAGCTCGATCGCACGCGCGCTTAGGACGAAAGCTCAAGTAATTTGCGCATGCTCGAAGGAAGACGTCAGTGATTTTGGATATGTTATGACGCGTCAACATGAGCAAAAAAAGCGAAACTGAGGGTAAATTTTCTTACATTTCCTTCCGTGAAAATCCTTAAAATTTGGCTGATTGATATAGACCAGGCTTTTTGCAGCGGTAAAAGACATAAATTTTGAAAAAAATCGAAAAAAAAACTGCCTTTACAAACCCTACGTTTTTCTTGTTTAAAATTCGTATCCCGCTGGAAGCGGCTGTAAAGATTTTGGAAGGAAATTCAAGAAAAACACAAATGAAGCCATAAAAACAGTAAAAATCACATTTGTTTGGGCATTTATAATTTACGACTAAAGCCAAAATTTTAAGAGGGATGATAGCAAAACACTATTTAATGATTGGCTATGACATGTAATAAGTTTGAGAGGACTGAGTGTGAAAGCGAATGCAAAAACAGCATTCAAAACATAACATTTGCGCGCGCAACGCCATGAATGATCGCCCTATGGAGCCACCTTAAAAAACAACAAGAAAGCTCTGCGTCTTGTCGATGGGCCTCCGGTTGGTTAGACCATTATCTGCAATGCGGAAACTTATAGATTTTTTTTTTTATAGATGTTCTTAAATTTCTGTATCACAAAAAAACTTAGTGGCGAATGCATTGGCCTTCTCAAACACACAAAGCAGGGTAGAAACACATTTCCATCTTCTGCCCCTGCTCTTTTTACAACGACAATGGCCTAGCACTTTACAGCTAGCAGCTGCTGCTGTAGCCTGCGAACAGGCTCCCGGTGAGCCTGAACGAAGCGAAAGGCGTCCTGCCCCAATCGCTTCGCTCTCCGAATTCTTCTGTTTCGCGCTCGCCGAAATTTTTTTCCGTCCTCACCGGGAGCCTGTTCGCAGGCTACTGCTGCTCGTAGGGTAATCCATCGTGGCTGCATCTACCCCTCTCTGCCGAGATGTGTAGTCAGCCAGGAAGTACAGGGGTTTGAGTAGTTGGAATGGTTGCTTGTTCCCACACGTATCGTCCTTGATATGTGTCGCGCTTCTTTGAGCTATCAGATCAGTGCGACGGGGATGCCGTGAAAGCATTTAGTGGTTGTCCACGACGTCGACGTGATGTGGTCGATTTTATCGACTGCCTCTGCGTAAAATCGCCCGTTTTAAGGTTGGCATACCGTGCCCAGTATTTTAAGCGTTCACTACTGAATCTTCCACTCCTGCAAGCTCTGATATATGGCAAGCATAGCACTGTTGCTCTTGCCTATCAACATGCCAAGAGCTTGCAGTCGGTCAACAATTTCTTTCTTAAGTATATTTGCGTGCAGCATGCAGCTTATACATAATGGTAAAGGGGTCTCTTGACTTTTGAGTGCATTCTTTGGCTTTACTGGAATATAGCGTTGGTCCTGCAAGGGTCATGGTGGCCGATGCTAACAAATTCTGGGGTATTGATTCCTTTTGGCATTATAGTACTGAGATCTATCGAGCATTTCTTTACGTATTATATGCTAGCTGTGCGTTCTAAACTCATCACATTGCCATCGTTTTGCGCAAAGGAAACGTAAAAACACTAGTCATCCTATGTCTTCGTCAAATACTAGTAATACTTCTTTAACGTAGGTGTCAGCAGTCAATAACACGTGTGGAGTGTTATCGCTTGCTTTTCTACCGCCACACCTTTTGCAAAACTCCTTTCTCGAGTCCGAGAGCTTGAAAACGGTAGTGCGCGGCTGTCGTGTTCTATAATTTCGTTTTTGAAAAATCAACTCAGCTATACTAATATGTCTGTTATGTAGATTGGCAGTTATTATAGATTGGCATGACAATTCCATTGTGATCCATGTTGTCGCGCGCGGTAGACTTTCGCTGCTAGACACAATCCAGGTGATGTTTGGTTCGAAGGGCAGTCACATCAATTATACTTAGCTTAGATGTTATTTAGATTCAAATGGTACAACTCGTGAGCAACAGATGATGATCGGGAACAGGATCGATGTCGACAACCATTGTACACGCCTCTCTTAAATCAACGTCGGTGGAAGGTTCCTTCCAAAAGGAACATGATGGAACATTTTTGCTGTCTGGAAAATACTTACTGAACGTTTGCAGCTTCTTTGGCCGAGACAGTTTCCTTTTAAGTATGTGATCCAGTTTGGCTCTGTTTGGTTCTTGCAAATTCGACAAGGTTTATGCCAACTGGAACAATGATTTTCAAATGTCCAAGCAATTCCATTCTCTCGTCTAAATTTTCCCAAATCAACCCATTTCTTCCTTTATATGCTAAAGCTCGCCATTTTATCTTTCTAACAACGGTGTACGCGGTACGTGCTTGCATCCAATTGCATAGAAACAAATTAGAATGTGATGCCGCTCCTACCATTCGAACCAAGAGAAAGTGTTGCAGATGATGATGTAGAGAAAGAGAAGCAAGAGAAAATGCAGATTTGTGCAAATTAAGGGCTTCATTCATTTAATACTTTTTAGCAGGAAAATTACCTCCACTTGAATTAAAAAAAATAACAATTTTTATCTTACGTGCATTAATAACGTAAAAACGCAAGGCAAAAACGTGAATTAATTCTCGAAAAAGAACATGAACAACAACTCCGCGGGGTGTGTAATGAGTGAAAACTCTGATTATCGCTAACACTGGAATTAGAAAATTGAGCTTGGCACTATATCAGGGATTGATCAGCATGGAAATGCACATTATCCCACAAAATTTGGTGCTTGTATCAAAAATCGGCCTAGACTAGGGTAACCGCCATTCTCAAATGTCAAACTGCCCGTGCCCATCCCCCTCCATGCTGTGTATGTCACGTGACTAGTAAATTAATAACGGTAAGATGTCGATACGCGTAAGTTTGGAAATATGAAAATTGTGGTCGTTTTGTAGCCAACTAAAACGGACTGAACAAATTGAAGACTTCGTATTTCCCACTTGTGATAAAAAGGATAGACGAGAAAGATCTATCGTAGCTTGAAAGTTGAAAGGAAAAAGCAATGGTTATGAACAACGAGTCGCAAAAACCGGGAACGCCGACGCAGGCAAGACAACTCGCCGAAAGCGACGACATTGCTAGCAGTTTGGTTTTGGATACGATGCTGGGCTTTACGACTCATAAAATGGCAGCGAGATTCCGTCCTCTGAAAGTTGATCAAGAAATTGTGAGGAAAGCGCTGGAAAGATACCGCAAGGACGGGGATATTGAGCAAGCTTACAACGAAATCGTGTTCAACGCTGGAGATTGGGAGCGATGCTATTTCATCACCAAATCCAAACCTCAAATTGCGGCTTTCAAGGAGCACGTAAGTTTGACAAACTCACAAGCTTGGAAGCAGTTTAAAACGATAAATTTGCTTTATTTTCTGAACTTTTTAGAAGGTAGTAGCATCGAATTGAAGTGTCATGCTCGCAATTCGCTTTCGTATTGAATCTAGCTTTGCTAGCTTGTGTTCAATTCATGTGCCTGAACGCGTGTTCCTCATTGTGAATCGATCTTTGCACCAACTATTAATTTATGCGTGATCGATTACACTACTTGTTTTTTATACAAAATGCTTGGCCAGTCTTCAAGGAATGAACAGTTCTAGATGTGGCTTTTCCCTCTCCATCGGGGAGTTTCGAGAGAATTTCAGTTTCTACATCCCTCCCACTTCCGTTTTATCATTGGGGAAGTTGAAAATGACGTAATACTGTAGGTGCTGGGTAATTCGTTTAGCGCTTCCAGTCAGGTTTGCTCGTGATCAATTTTCTAATCGTTTGGCTCTGCCTGCTGTAATCTCATTTGCGCCATAACAGCGTCAGATAAGTCATATAGATGGAGTGAAATGTGGTTCTTTCCTTAAAATGTTGACTTTTCGATAATATTGAAGGCCCATTTACAATCATTCTTCATTGTGTATTTTAAGAAACTGATATCAATTTTATGCCTCTGTTGGAATTGAATTGATGAATTAGCTAATGAACCTCATGGGAGCTGATCTGAAAGATAAATGGCGAAAATGCTATTAATATGACCAACCTGTGAGTTTGTTTAATTTGAAGTTTTTAAATTGGTATGAAAAGTTGTCTACATTCTACATACATACATACATAAACTTTATTTGAGTGTCGGAGTATTTAGCTAAAGATAACTAATTGGGGACACTAACATAAATACAAATATAAAATATAAAGATTTTAAGGAAAACGACCACTTTTTTAAGTTTATAAGACATGTTTTGACAGAACTTCTGTCATCTTCAGTTGAATGAATGATTACAAAGCAAGTTGAATAATAAATAGGCAAAAATGCTAATTAAGACAAATAGTAACAACAGAACGTGAAAAGGTCTAAATTAAAAGGATAATTTTAGATTTACATGGTGTAATTGCTGATTGAGGCAAGGTAGTTCTTTTTGAATGTGGATAGCCTCCTTTATCTTGAGTTGAAAGCTGGTAGTGGCGTGATCTAAAATATGAAAGCAGTCTATTGATCACAATGAGCGACAATGTTCAGAATTCTGAAGATGTTTGAAGATGTGAGAGGCCCTATCAACAGCTAAGTGTCTGCTGCTATCTAGACCTTTTGGAAATAAAATATAAAATACTAATATTATGTAAAATATATAGGTAGTTAATAATTAAAACCATGTTTTATAGGTCTAATTAGTTAAAAAATAAGTTCAAGATTACTTAAATTGGTTGTATTATTATTATGTTGAGCAAGCATAGCAGCTGCATCTTCCATCCAACACATCTGTTAGGTTAATGGCCCGAACTGCTTTTTTAAATTCACGAAGGCTTGTTTTGTTGTGAAGGTCTTTGTCTACTTTTCCGCTTATTATTCTATATGGGGCAATTTCGATTTTGTTTTTATTTTTGATTGTTACACAATAACGTTTTGATAACATGACATAAAACTATTGAAAATTATTATATTAGACTTTGCTTTTGATTTCTCTGAAATCATAAAGCACAAAAATTTGTAGTATATAGGTACAAATTATATCATAATTTAGAGTGCTTATTCAGTATTTTTGTTAATTATTTATATATCGACCTCCAGTGCTAATGATCAAAACTGATTAAAGTTTCTAAATTTATTGTACACAACTGTATGAAAAATAGTTTTTTTGGCAGGAATATAGTTTAAGTAAAGTTGCTTTTATTTCACAGATATCACTCTAACTTTATATTTTTGATTTTATTCTGTATTGAAACTTATTGTATAAGTGAGTACTGAATGTTATGGATTCTTTGCAACACTCTTGATACCTTCATGGCAATGATACTAGTAACTGGAATATGTGAATACAAATTCTCCTTGCTTTTCAACCTTAAACTGTTTGTCGTCCAGGCAAATCATCATCAGGTGTCTCAAATGAGCTCTTTACAACTATGAAATCTGATATAAATTCTTAATAGATCTACAAAGTATATCATAAAGCTCCAAATTAATAAAGGAAAACAATCATTTAGGCAGGGCTGTCATTAAGGCTTGATTCGCCTGTAGCCTCAATCTTCACACCTCTAATGAACTATTCTCTTTAAGTGTGGACTGCATCTATTCAACAACTGACAAGGTCACCTTATGACATCAAGGGCCCATTAAACATAATCAGTGGTAACAGGTGTTACAGGTTACAGCCCATATTGATAACCCTGTTTAGGCGAACAAGATTATTGTTATTTTTACAACAGCTATTGGCCAATCTTATATTCGGGATCTAATTTTTCCTTTTTGTATTTTTAATACTGACATTTCTTTTGGTTTAGGTTTTCAGATATATTGGTATATTTCATCCAAACTCTGGTTACAAAGTAGTACCTTGTAATCGGTACTCTGGAGAGGAGCATGGAGCTAAAGTTGTGGCTACTTGTGAATGGTGAGTACATTTCTTCAATGTTCAAAAGCTACTGTTTATGTTGGTCAATGTGCTAAAGTTACACCTACAACCATGGACAAATTGTGTTGGAAAATGCCAAAAACGTAAACTCATAACCATAATACCTAGAGAATATGTGCCAGCACCCCCATTCCCCCTTTCATTGTTGGAAAATGGTAAAATGAAAACTTGTGTTAGATGAAAGTGTTTTGTCAATGTTGCACAGGGGTGGTGAGGGGCAAAATGCATATAAAATGAATTTTTACAACCCTTGTGACCAAGGTTGTAGTTAGTTCACAGGCATGCTACTTAAACTGAAAGAAAAAAGAACATCAACTAAACATAACAGGCTTAAAAATCCCAACTGGAGGGAGGCAGACCAGTTGGCTATTTACAAGCGTGACCAAGGAGTTGAACAAGGGCGTACCAGGAAACAACTCCAGCTAAGTGGTCAGAACAGTACTTGAACCTGCGACCTCCAGATTTCAAGAACTTTTGGTGCCTTAACCACTCTGCCACGCTTCCTCCCTTGTAAAACGGGTCAAGGGGATACTTATTTTTTAGTGTGTCAATGTGATTTAGGCTATTAGACTCAAGCCAATACTGGTCAGTGACATTTTGAGGCTGCCATGTGCTGTTGTATCATATAGTGGGCTTTGTATTCCCCAGTGAGTGGATGTGCAGTTGTATGCTTTTTGTTACCTTGCTTTCTACTGTTGGTTGTGATATGTTTGTGGGTTGGTGAGTTTTCAGTGTGACATAACATGGTGGTTACTGCTCCGAAGGTTGTCACAGATACCTTCATGCTTCACTGAATGTCTTTATCTCACCTGGTACCGCTATTTCTTACTAGACATCTGTCTGCAAATTCTTTCTGTATTTTATTTTTAGGAGCAAGGGTGACAAGCTACCATTTCTATGTGGGTGTATAGCAGAGATGAATGAAGAAGAAGAGAAAAAGCTTCTCCGTCCTGGAGAAAATGACTTCAGTATCATGTTTTCTTGTCGGAAGAATCTATCACAACTTTGGCTTGGTCCTGCAGCTTACATCAACCATGGTAAAAAAAAAAAAAAGCTCTTATAGTACTTGGCATATACTTCAAGAACTGTTCAGATTTGTATAGTGTACATGTTTTGTTATTGCTACAATGCAAGGCAGAAAACAAGGACATGTTCCACGATCTGTTCTACCTCCAAAGGTTTATTACACCCTTGTATGTATCTGAGGTTCTCCTTATGTGTAACTGAATTGTGCACAATTAACATTGCCCAATATGCTGATAACTTTCTTTTGTTGACAGCCATGAAGTGAAGATCTCTCCTAGTCCTATTACTCCAGGTCCTACATTTGCTTGAATCTTGAGCATTTTATTATTATTTTATACTGTAATTATTTATGTTGTTTCTTGTTTCCTTTACAGACTGTCGTCCCAATTGCAAGGTGAGCAAGTTTGTGCTTCTGGGTTCACTCCTCTTATAATGAGTATATGTTCTTCTAACATGTTTGTTTTCCTTTGGTTTCAGTTTGTGTCCATAGGTCGGGACACAGCTTGTGTCAAGGTATTACGAGACCTAGAACCAGGAGAGGAAATCACATGTTACTATGGCGAAGACTTCTTTGGCGATGATAACTGCAATTGTGAATGCGTGACATGTGAGAGGTATTTGACACTATGTAACTATAACAGCAAGTTCTGTATTATTTTAAGGGGCTATGTGAAGCGATTTAAGATAATTTTAGCACCAGTTGGCTAACTTATTGTAGAATTATTAAGTAAACTGAACCAGAGCTGTCATTAAGTTTTGATTCAGCTCTAGCATTGATCTGCACACCCATAACAAACTGTAGCAACTACAGGCAAGTTCACCCATAACAACAAGAGCCTATCAAGCATGCTCAGCCGTAACAGATGCTGCAGGTTACGGCCCTTGGTGACAGCCCTGAACTGAATTATCGCAATAACAGCTTAAAACATTATTAATAGGAATTCAAAAGAAACACAAGGAAGCCAAATGGAGCATTGAGCAAACCGAGAAACATTACAAAAATGGAATTACATTTGGTTACACTTGAAAAACTTTGACAAATTTTTTTTCAGATTTAGCTTAATTTGTTTAATCAAGTGTCCATAATACATGCTTCAAGTCATCCTTCTTTGTATTGGGGGTGATTTTGCTAATGGCAGACTGTTGCTCAATCAATTTGAAGTTTAGGGTTCTTAATTAACAAACATAAAATTTTCTTAATCATCACCTGTGATACCATTACCTAGCCCTGTTAACGGGTTGCATATTTCCAAGTTATACAATCAGGTGTTTTTCCACTTGAGACACATCCATGATAACAGACACATTGTAAAGCACATCATCAGTGTGGAATTTCAGAGCAGAGTTACATTACGAGCCCACATGTTGGTAGAATTTTGGCTTTCTCTTGCGCATTGAAGAGTCGAGAACTTGTGTACCAAGCGATATGTCTTGAATCAAATTTATGTCTAGTTTTCATTGTGAGCAAGTCAGGGAGATTTAATATGATTATTGTGGGCAAATATTCTGTAAACTTAAGTAATTAACTTGTAGTCTGACATTCTATGTCATTTGCATCTCAGGCGAGGAGTCGGGGCATTCAAGTCTAAAGCAAAGACTGTTGACAAGAAACAGAAGTACAGCTTAAGAGAAACGGACAAGAGGTTAAAAAGGCTGGCTCGTAGAATGACAGGTAAGTACAATATTATTATTGAAAATACTGTGTGCACAGCCATACTACATTTAGGTCCGGTAGCAGTGTTTCCAGTGATAATTGAAGTTGCTGTCTGCCCTGATGCAGCACCTGCTAGAGAGCAATAAGAGAGGTCCATAACAAGCTCCTGCAGAGGAACGAGTAAATGATGCTAAGCTCTTCTAACTTGTCTCAACTTCATCCCTTGTTTCTCCTGCAGATTCCTTCATTGATGTCGATAACATCCCCTTACCAAAGGTTGTAGTGGAGTCTGAGGATGTTGATACAACAAACACGTTCGACGAAGAAATAGATTGCTTGATCTCAGTTGACCTCAAAACTGTTGAAGATGATGCAGTTGATGCCTCGCCCACAATTCCCACACACAGGTTCTACTCAAAAACAAATCGACCCAAGCCTCGATCAAATGTAACAATCGGCCTGGAAGAACTGAATGCAGTGAAGAGAAAGCGCAGGAAAAAAGGCCCAAAACTATGCATGCCGACAAAGCGCAAGAGACGAAGACATACTGTTACAAGGGAGTATGATGACAGTCCACCTGACAACATCTGCGAGTTTATTCCCCCAGCAAGGCATACCTCTGTAGACAGTGGCGTAGATGTGACAGACAATGTTGACAATGACTTATTCACATATGGTCATAGATATAAGGGTGTCATGAAACAAGTGGAGTATCTTCCTTCAAGAACATTGGGAAAAGCCAGTGATACCTACATGCTGTCCGGGCGACATATGTCAATTAATACAACCATAAACTCTCTTCCGTTCTATAAAAATTCTGCTAGTTATAGATGTCCTTGCTGCCCCTGAGCACACTACTGTAACTGTACTTTTCTTAATTTATGAATCATCTTTAGCTACAAGACTTAGTTTAGTAGGAGGCAGTAGTCTTTCTTGGTACATGATGTTGCTAGGTAATGTAATAGCATGACACCCTTTCAGATAACTTAACACTGTTAAGGCAATTCAATAGCTGTAGCTGATACTGTTGTCATGATAGTTCTAAATGACACTGATTGTAATATTTTCTCACATCTTGTTACAGCCAAAACTGGTCACAAATTTCTGCCAAGAAATTAATCAGTCCTTGTTTCCACAAATTTACACGTAATTATTAGCCTGCGTAACAACTGTTCTCGCATTTTGCTTTGGGGGCGATGGGAAAATGCGGGAATTCATGCTTGCTATGTAGGCTACGTAATAAATATTCAGATACTTGTATTTATAATTCTAATCAGTGGTGCTTCATCACTGGACTGTCCTGAACTTCTCAATATTACATTTTTCAATTAAATACTGCTTCTTAATAACTTAATAATATTATCAGTATGTTTACTTGTCAGTCTGTTGTGTAACCTGTAGTTCTTTCTTGTGTAATATTAATGGGAGAGTATAGTGCCCAAAGTAACCAAAAATTATTGGATGCTGATCTTTGTGTATAATGGATAATCTCATTTTAATTATTTCCTTTGTAGAAACAGAGTTTACTCAGTGAAAAAAAGTAAAAAAAATTGTACTTACTGGGTGAAGCTTCAGTGAGGTGTGACAGCATTATTTTGTAGATATCTTCCCTCTGAATGGCAGATGGGTTATAAAGTATGACTTTACCTTGTTATTGTGTACTTTTACTGAAAAAAAAAAATGTCGCCAGGGACGTTAAACTAACAGCTGTCTGTCATTATTTTCCTGTTCTGTTTTTATTTCAATTTATATAAGTATAGGTAATCATACGGTTTCGAGTTCAATTTGGAATTAATTTGCACGAGTGAGTTTTTCAAAAAGCTGAAA